GCACGTCAATTGTCTACAAATGATCGACTTAATGTGCGATAGAAGAATCGTTTAATTCGTCGTTAAAATAGGCAGTTGGCCCGCAGACGGTCAGGAAATTACTTACTATTTTCTTGCTCATGGAAATTCCAATAGTTATACACTCCATGTAAATAAAAGAGATGTTTCAACTAGTTTATCGTTGGACATTCTGCTGGCTGGCGAGGAATCGTTTCACTGCTCGTAGTTTGTCTTTAATCGACAAAACATATGATAAAAGTACTACTCGCTCACCACTATGAAACCCTAAAACTCGCTTATAATCGAGCTTGCTAGCTTGTTTCCACATTCTAGCCCTACTTATCACACGTCCATCGTTGTCGGTTGAACAACTGCCTAATTATAGTGTAACATTACAAAACAAACATTTTAATCAACGATTGTAGACAATTGACGTGCCCTACGGTTTTATTTTAGTCTAGTCTATGCATATGTTTATAATTCCCACGACTGTATCTATTTTATTATTTTTTGGTTTTTAGTACATTTATCTTAAACATTGCAATGTATGTTTAACATAAAACCGTTTAACTTAAAAAGTTTTTTTACCTATTTTTATTTTCTAGTTTTTAGTTTTTATTTCGCATTCTGTTTAATTCATTTAGTGCTTCATTATTGCAAGGTCCCTTGCCAGTTAGTTTATATAAATAAATCAATTCTATAATATAAATATAATATATATTTAATTAATAAAATAGATACAGTTTTTAATATAATGTTATATATATATATTTATATATTATATAATATTTTTTTTTTTATTTATTTTTTTTTTTATTTATTTAGTTTATTGTATTGTCACCAAAATCCAAAGTGTATACAAAATTTCAGATTAATCGGTTGACAGGAAGAGGGTGAAATTTGAATTACTAAATTTGACCCAAGAATAAAACAAACGGGGTGAGCTAAATAAAACCGTTAAAAAACCCTGTTGACGCTCCATCGTTTGGATGTCGCTTCAGACTGAGAGCTGAGGTGATAATAAAAATAATACACGGTTTGATAACGTCCTCCCTCTAGCTTTTTATGAAAATCAATATTATTTGCTCGAGTTCTTAGTGTAACATATTATACAACTAACATGAAACTGCCTCAGTAAAATATGTTATTTATTGGACTAATTATTTACTACTAATAAATAATTACATGAAAAAATCTTGATTCATTTGTAGCTCTTATAACTATTTCGCTGAAAGCGCAGAACCGTGAAATATCATTACGCTTTCCGACACAGTGATAAAATGATAAGCCAATTTGCTGTCTGACTTCACTTAGAATTACCTCGCAATAAAATAGTTGCTAGGCCAATGTTACTTGTTAGTAACGCTTATAGTTGAGTAATGTAGACTAAATTATAATCCCTGAGTAGGTGCTTTTTGTGTAAAGTGATAATATCTTTGCTTTTTGAATCAAATTATTTCTTTTTTTCTCAACCAATACACCACGAGTAATGATGATGACAAAACGCTTACAGTACGCTACAAAACACTGCGCTTCGTTAGTAAAAATCGCTACAGTAATTTAACAGTTGTTCTGAAAACTGTTTTATTTATAATACCTTATATATAAATTATTATTAACCTATTATAAATATTAAACCTTATTTATAATAGCTTAATAAGCTTGTAATAAAGAACTTACAAAACAGATAAGCAACGACTAGCACCAGCAGAATAGACCCCGACAGCCAGTCAAAGTCAGACAGTATACAGGCTGGCTTTAGCAGGCATTCGCACGCGGTCATCAGAACCATTGTGAAGCCAATTAATACCCCAATAAATGTCACCCAGACGAACACTTGAATTAATCCTTCGTCATCCTGAAAGAGCCGTAACTGTGTTATGCTTGTCTTACTGTAATGGAATCCAGCGCGTAGACGAAAGTACGGTATAATTATTACAGCGGCTTTGCAATTTTTTCTTTTAAGATGCCGTCCTAGATTCTAACTTTGATATTCCCAGGATTAGCAATCAATTTGTGGTGATAATTAGCTAAGTTAGCTAATAGATTTTCACCTCAAATTGACCCCTTCAATCTATCTTACTCATAGTTTCGCAGAGCTTTTCCCAGAAATGTTCAATAAGTGTTCTGTTAGTTATTAAGTATAAAGCATACTGTTATAGGGCAAACAGTTAGTTTTTATTATTTTTGTTTGTTTCTAAATTGCCCGTTGCAATTCTTTTTGTTTTAAACAAATGCTGTATATCCCGAGATTCTATCGTGACATCTTAGGGTGCGTTCACATCTGGCGAATATGCTATGTAGTATGTACTAGCGCACCGATCGCGTACGGCGCTTAGGTTGCAAGGGAACTGCGCGCGGGCTGCGCAGGAGGGGCGCACGAACAAAAATGCACGCGCGCAGCTCGCAAACGGGTCGCGAGCTGCACATTCGCGGCATATTGGCCAGATGTGGACGCACCCTTAGAACCGGTCAAAAACTCATAATTAAACTGGAAAGCATGAGTAATTCGTAAGATTAAATAGTTATAAATTACTAATAAAACTTACCTTTAATATTGTATGGAACGATGTAGCTAATTTAGAACTAAACGAAAGTCAAAAACCGATATTAAAGTATTGACGTATACGATATGAAAACTATCGTTGAGTTGGCAAATTCCGCCTTGTATCAAAGCCTGCTTACATTTAAGAAATTGTACCCTTAAAAGAACTTATTTCATATTCGCAATATCGTGTGACGTCCGCTTTATACGCTAAACAAGATGAGACAGGACATCTTGTCAATTGCAACGGCAATCATGGTACAAATTAAATGCCCTTATTTAAAAAATTAAAATAGAAAAAAATTATAGAGATAAATTTATGACCTGTACCAAAGATTAGTACTCATAATTTACCTTAATATTTTAAGAGCGATTAGTACGTGAGCTTGATAATTTTTATTTTCGTAATTAATTTCAAAACCTAGGTTGGTTATAATTAGAGATAAATAAGATTAAAACAGAAATAGCATGTTATTTACTTTATACGAGTCTATTGTATATGCAATTTAATAATTCAAATGTTATATAATTTAAAAAATATAATTTATAGTTTTCCTAAGTATTTTTTTAAAATAGTGATTTAAGGTCTATAGGAGGTTAAATTAATGGTAATAAATAAAAAGTATTTACATTTACACAAGTTGTTTGTCTTGAGCGTGGGAATCTTCGCCCTGAGGTCGTAGGTTCGAACCCCGGCTGTGCATCAATGGAATTTTCTGTCACATTTCACATTGGGAGGAAACCGGCATGCGTTAGACCCAAAGAAGTCAACGGCGTGTGACAAAAGGCTGAATATTATTAAAAAACTATGGAGGCGTCTAACTTACCGCCAAAGTAGCAAAGAAAAGCACGACTCCTGTGAACATGAATATTAAGGATACGATCACCATGCCGGTAGGTATGAGGAGACTTGTCTTTGACATTGCTTGATCAGTCGCTAGAAAATATTAGTAAAATGTTATTTTCTCTTTACCTTTGAAATCAAACTGTATTTGGATGCTTCAAATATCTATCTAAAGTGTGTGTTACAATTTTTTTTTAATATTTCTTTTTTATTAGTGGAGTATAAAGAAGCGACTCCAGAGGATCATTCAAACTACAAAACCAGTGTATTTTTTGTAATATTAAGAAAAAAAATTAAAAAAAATTGTTAAATATTATCGTTTATATATAAATTATCTTATAAATTGTTACAGTTATATACATTTCATATTATATACGATCTTAGGTATTTTATAAGTTTGAAATATAGTAGGAAAAATTTATGTTTTTGTAGGAAGAATAGAGAAAAACAAATCTTACCTTCTATATTCGTAACACCTTGAGCTTTACCGTAATTTATATTTGATTTCTTTTCTAACACACTTAAAAAGATTACGCCCGACATCTAGGAACAAAGCAAATTAGAACTTTAAGCCCCTGGGATCAGATCTCCATTTAGAAAAATGTTTTAATGCGGGAGAAATTCACATTTATTTTAACGCTAGATAATCACAAAGCGGGTTAATCTTAATACATCTGAACTTACAGTACAAACTTGGTAAACGTACAATAGAAATAATTGATATAAGCATCATTCCAACTCGAAGTGATACTCCTAGACAGCATTTGTCTACTTCCGGAAATATTTCACACATTATCTTAAAATTTCTCAAAAAATATATTTGTACAAAATATAAAGCCTGAAAGATGACAGGGACCGCGCGCGGCATTTAAAACAAGATTAGGTTTAGAGCGAACATTTGACAGTTGACCATTTCGTGATTAGGTTAAATCGTTTTCTGTGGTTTTTGTCATACTTTATCTGGAATTAAAAAAGGATAGGTTTGATAACGTAAGATGAAGTGTATTTTGTTTGATTCTGATTACGGACATACGAAAAGATAGATCATGTCGCGTATTCGCCAATTGCGTTTAATTTTTTGTATTCTATTTTCAGATGGTTAAGTTTCTTGGCTAATAAGTGATGAATACAAACATTTACGTAAATAATTTGCGTGAAAAAATAAGATTAAACAATATTATAGGAAGAATGTATTCAGGTTTAATATTTTCATACTTCCAAAATAATATTCCAATGGAGAAGTCATTTCACAAGGCTGTGTTAAAAAATCTTCAATCCTTGTTAAATTCTTTACTGATTTCAAAATTTAATTTAGGAAAAAACATTTCTTCACATCAAATCAAAAATATAATACCAAAAAAAGTATTATTGTTGTTTATAAAACTGTTCCTATGAAAACTGTATGTCTATTAACTAATTACTAACCCGTAAATTTGGTTTGGAATTAGTGTAGTGACTTAGACAAATAATTCTTTATAAAACGTTGTATATATATGTATAATCAGAGAATATATATGTAACCTGTAATGTGAGTGAGCGGGGAAAAGAATTAGCAACTACAGTAAAACAAAAGACTTCTTTAAATATATAAATTTATTATTTACAAGACAATTACAAAACCTCTTCATTTAAATACTTTATTGACATCCGAAGACTGTTCACAACAATCATAAAATACATTGTCACTGAAACAAAAAAATATATAAAAACAAGATAACTAAGATTATAAACTGACTTTTGAAAATTGCCTGAACAGCGCTATGGCATTATATTTTACTTAACTTATTTAGATTGTTTAACAAAAAAACTTACATATAACAATAACAACCATCAACACGAGTAGCACGGCACCTGCCACGACACAATTTGAATGAATGAAGAAGCAGAAGACGGCCAGGATAAAGAAGAGCAGCACAACAGTACTACTGTACACTACCACGCCCCATTGGTAGATCTCGATTAACACTGGTAAGTTCTACAATAGAGAATTATATTAATTAATCATAAGCCTTAGTTAAAGCTACAGTTTATTAACTATTCAATATTTTTTCTTTACATTAATAAGGATTAGAAAATTTTAGTTTTTTTATATAGGATAGAGTTCATCACATCCCATGGACACCCATTTTAGTGGGTGCGTTGCCGACCTTTGTGGGAAGACTATGCTCGTTTTTTAACAAGACCTTGGCTGATTTTGGTCAAAACAAAGAAGCTGGTATTTGGGAGCAACGGTCCAGAGATGTGAGCAGTATTCCATATGAGTTCGTACTTGAGCCTTGTAGAGCTGCATACCAAAACACCCAGATTTTTGGAAGCCAGTTTGGCTTTTTCTTCCAGATGACTGTGGAATTGGTTCCTTCTATATGCTAATTCCAAGTATATTGACGCTGTGGGAAGCACTAAGGAGAGCGCTTTCAAATTGAGAAGACACGAAAAAAGGATCTTTTTTGGCAGAAAACGAACAAACCCGAGTCTTTTACTTAACATGTTATTGTAATAAATCCAATTCGATTAAATTTCATAAATATAGACAGTTTTTATTGAGTAGGGGTCTGAGGTCCCAAAAGACACCAACTTACCAACTACCAACACGTAGCATTAGAAAAACCAGTTTTGTTTGTTCTTTACTTTAACCTCTTTAAATCTTAAATAGGTCCCAAAGGACCAACACAACAACCCACAAAGTAATGAAAATGGGTCACTATACAATAAAGATTGCATCGATCGTAATAAAAAACCTACTACAATGCGGTAGACACAAGGGTATTTTGCAATAAGTAGAAAAACAAAGGTTTACGCCTCGTTAATTATTCTGAGAAATTGATGGCGTTCATCTGGTTTTATATTAAAATCTTTTCAATATTTCTATTATTGTTTTTCTATTTATTGTGATTGCTTCGGCTCTCTGGAGACAGACCTACCTAGAGACTATATTCGACAACAGTAAAAAGAGAGATAAATGGTCTTTGTAGTTCTTATACCCCTATTATGTTTTATTAGCATTAGAATTCTACGGATTCGCGGATAGTTGTGCAAAGACGTCATCGAGAAATAGGTCTGATATTGTTAATATAAAAGAAAACTAACGCAACAAGCTCCAATAAGTAGTAGTGCGCTGACAAAACATAGCATAATAGATACTGCACCAAGCACAATTTGTATAGTGTTTTCCGTGGCTGAACTATGGTACGATAACACAGGATCCATGTCCCAGAATCCACGTGTATGGGTGACATTTGGCGCAAATAGGAGGCCCGATAGCTGCAAAAAAGGTTTAGTTATAATTAAGCGATTTATTTATTGTACCTTAACTAAATGAAGCACGTCTATCGCCACTGTTGGAGTCTGTAGAAGAACTTATAACCGTTTTCATTACGATGATAATAAGCAATCATTGTTGTTTTGTTTGTAAACCGTACTTTAGTTATTTTGAATAGCTAAAAACATTTTAAACAGTAAACAGGGTAACCAAAAGTACGATCTACGTATTTACTAACTTATTTTCTATTAATATATATTTGTAAAAAACAGATGCGGCATTTTCAAGCACCTCTACTGTACAAGATGCTTTCATTGAAACTTATAAGCAAAAACATATTATAGTATCTAATTTACGAAGTAAGTTTTCCCTAACAGATAAGCATTATGAAACAGGAGTTATCTGTCTCTGTAGACTTGTATGTAAAGTACTCACGAATGAAAAAACTGCGATCATTACTGTGCCTGCGCGCAGAAAGCAACAGAAACAACAGCTGATCACAGTCGGCAGTCTATCCATAAACTTCATTGCGGTATATATTTTTTATTTATATTGTAATTATCGTAAACATGATTTATTATGAAGATTGACACTGACGTTTTTAGTTTTTTTGTGTAAAGTGAAAGAGTATTTTTGTTTATCAAAACTAATTTTGATAAAATAGAGCGAGGTTTACAATATTAAAACGTCTATAATCGATACATAACGTAATTTAGGTAATATTAGTTTGTACTAGAGTATTATATATTTGGTTCCATATATTTTAGTGTATTTCTTATTAATCAAATAAATCTCACCCTTAAAGTCGATCAGCCAGAATATGATATGGATTTATAGTGTATTAGTATTAAGTATACAGTATTACCCAAAATAAATTCTTTAATATATCTTAATCTACGTTCCAAATAAGGCTTTATCAAATTACATTTGAGAGTGTCAATTTACTGTAACGCAAATAAACTCCTTCGCTCCTACGCAAGACTTGTTAAACAGAATTTCAAAACAATATTTATGTATAATTCTTGTCTAGATTAGTAAGCCTCTTAAGTTGGGAGAAATAAACATTAAATAATTACAATTTGATGTTTATTGATGTTGTACATCTAAAATGTTTAAGATAATTGTGTTAACCGTAAATTCTCTATTTTCTTAATGTAGATGTTCTAAAAGCTATATTACTTTGTTTTCGTGTGTTATAAGTTATTATCAGTTTAATAAAAGTTAATAAATTGCTTGGGTTTTCAAGTGTTGAGAACTTCAAATTACTAGAATATAATATTTACCTATTAGCCTAGGCTCGTGAACAAAAAAGAAGTTGTATTGTTTTCATGCTGCCTTATGGTAGATGTGGCAGCCGCATTTTGGCGTCTGTTTAATTGATTATATTTAAAAACCAAACAATTTTGTTTTACACTCCATGACTATTAATCACAGTTATACATAGTAGTATATATCATTATATGTCACTTGTTTATTCAAAGTTTTTATCTATATATTTACGACTTTTTCCCGAAGGGGTAGGCAAAGACCACGGATCCCCATTGCTACGGTCATGACCTACCCCTCTCGCTTTATCCATTTTCATGATATTCACCATGCATGTTCGTGGGTTATAGGTACTTTTAACTTGACACTTCTCTAGTACGTCCTGGATTTGGCCCAGTTTATTTAACATAAAATAAACACATTGGACATATCCACAAAAAGTTTCACTGATAAAAATATAATACAAAGTTAAAAACAAGACAAGACATGACAGCACTAAATTTATAAATAAGGAGAACGACAAACAAACTAGTAGCTAGTGTGAAAAAGGGTCAATATTAGTGGCAGAATCCAAGGTAGGACACATCCTGTGAAGAGGTATGTTATGTTATGTACAAGGCCTACCTAACCCGACTCCACCAGCATCACCTTTGTGTATTCTACTTTTAACCGCTTCTCATTAATCCGTTCTATATGGCCAAACCATCTAACCACGCATACCCTTTCGTTTACTTGTCACTACGTCCTCTTTTAACCGACACTGCTCATATATCCCACTATTACTCATCCTGTCACGCAATGTTACACCACAGATACTTCTTCACGCTCTCATTTCCACGGCATTTATTCTACTTTCATTATTTATCTGCCACACCCAACATTCGGTATGTTACATCCAATAATATAAAAAAAAGTACGTGCGTACAAAGTACACATGTCAGAAGTGAAACTTCTTTGGCAAACTAATTTTTAAGTCTTGTTCATATTTATACAAATCTAAAACTTTAGATTTCCGAGACTAAGAGGGAGGGAAAAAGGAAGATATTTTAGGAATCTAATGAATTTAATTGTCATCAAAATATTAAAAGTGTCGAAAATTAATACAAATTATAAATTTAATTTTTTAAATTTATTTCTTCGATAATAAAAACATTTGGCATTTTAATTTACAATTCGTCATTTGAGATTTCAATAAATTATTTTGCATTAAATATAAAATACTTATATTTCATAAAATCGCTTTACGAAATTTTAATTTTAAAAATAGAATTTAATTTATTTAAGGTGATTCGCCCTCCTCACTCTCAATCGGTCTCAATCGCTCTCTCCCTTTCCTTCGACAAAAACGCTGCACATCTTCGTGACGCTAATATTATTATTGCGTTTCATCCGAAAAAATTTACTCTCATGCGCCTAAAGAGAAACTTCAAAAAATTACGTGAATCAATATAGACCTTTAAATTTCTATTTGTCTCCTTCAATAAAATATTAGAGTGTAAAAGAGCCGTAAAATCGTAATAAAACAACGTCTAAAAGCATAAAACACATTGGCAAGAAGGAAAATCGCGTAATTTCGAAGGCCGGGGGAAATCAAATATGAATCCGTATATACCTGAGTTCACCTCACTGACTCACGGAGAAATGTTTTATTGGACAACCCTTCATCTTATGAATGATTGTTTTCGTATTTGCAGAAATTCCTAATACTAACGTGACTTATTGGCGTCGTGTAGAACAGATATATAGGACAAGAACAGATATCTAGGGCAAGAACAGGTATCTAGGGCAAGAACAGATTATATAGGACAAGAACAGATAAAAAGGACAAGAACAGATATCTAGGGCAAGAACAGATATCTAGGGCAAGAACAGATATCTAGGGCAAGAACAGATATCTAGGGCAAGAACAGATATCTAGGGCAAGAACAGATATATAGGGCAAGAACAGATATCTAGGGCAAGAACAGATTTCTAGGGCAAGAACAGATATCAAGGGTAAGAACAGGTAAATATATAGGGCAAGAACAGATATCTAGGGTAAGAACAGATAGATATATAGGGCAAGAACAGATATCTTGGGCAAGAACAGATATCTAGGACAAGAACAGATATCTAGAGCAAGAACATATCTAGGGCAAGAACAGATATCTAGGACAAGAACAGATATCTAGAGCAAGAACATATCTAGGGCAAGAACAGATATCTAGGGCAAGAACAGATATATAGGGCAAGAACAGATATCTAGGGCAAGAACAGATAGATATATTGGACAAGAACAGATATCTAGGACAAGAACAGATAGATATATAGGGCAAGAACAGATATCTAGGGCAAGAACAGATATCTAGGGCAAGAACAGATAGATATATAGGGCAAGAACAGATATCTAGGGCAAGAACAGATATATAGGGCAAGAACAGATATCTAGGACAAGAACAGATATCTAGGGCAAGAACAGATATCTAGGGCAAGAACAGATATATAGGGCAAGAACAGATATCTAGGACAAGAACAGATATCTAGGGCAAGAACAGATATCTTGGGCAAGAACAGATAGATATATAGGGCAAGAACAGATATATATATAGGGCAAGAACAGATATCTAGGACAAGAACAGATATATAGGGCAAGAACAGATAGATATATCTATTTGTTGTATTAGATTGTATGACGATCGGCCTGGGGCAAGAGGAACATTTCTATGTTTCATTGATAATTATTTCCTACTTTATAGGTGACTCCTGATAGTATCTTGTGCCTGACTCGTCTTTTGATCTAAAAAGTTCTTTCGACCTAACGGACACTATTGCAATATAATAAAAAAATGTATATATCAGTGGCGCTACAACCTATTTAGGTCTGGGCCTCAGATTTCTGAATCTGTTTCATGATCATTTTTCAATCTAATAGTCAAGGAGGTGATCAGCCTCCTGTGCCTGACACACGACTTTTTGGGTCTAAGGTCATGTCAGTTTCCTCACGATGTTTTCCTTCACCGTTCGAGCGAATGTTAAATGCGCACATAGAAAGAAATTCCATTAGTCCACCGCCGGGGATCGTACCTACGACCTCAGGGATGAGAGTTGCACGCTGAAGCCACTAGGCCAACACTGACTTACAACTGCAACATTACTATTATTATTGTCAATATAAATAATAATATGATTAGGTATTTTTTATTTGCTTCACATATGAAGAAAAATGGGGTTCCAATGATAAGTTAAAACTAATTTAACATATTTTTACCTCGTCACATTTTAAATTTAACTAACAATTTATTTTTTAATTTATACACGCTTATTGATCTATTTTTAATCGCAGCCATAGGAAAAACCTATTTAGCTTAACTATTTTCATTCATACTTAACTTGATAACAATATAAAATACATAATAATGCTATTATCGTATAATCTTCTTATCTCAGAAAATATGAACTCAATAGAAAGAGTAATATTGCAAAGTATATTTTCAATTCAACCGTCGGATTATTTTATATGCGACGGAAATAGATCCCTTGTTCAGCCTATATCGAGATGGCCTAGGTGCTCCAAACAGGGCTGCACTCACTGTTTCAATATTGTGGCCCCAGTTTCTTACGAATTATTATTAATGGTGTCAGATAGAAACTACTACTCTGCCCTGCGTCGGTATTTACAGAAAATAAAAATATGTCACTGTTCAGGAAAATACCAATTGGACTTATTTTACGCAGGCGTGACTTACCAACTTAGCTTATATCTTACCTTCCATCAAACAGGGTGCATGTAAAGGCCTGTGTTTTGCATATAGAACAAGTAAACAATATATGTTAGTTTGAAACTATAAAACAATGTCTTCTTTCTTATTCCCAAAACTATATTAGGTACTTTAGATTTACATCTTTGATAATATATTAGCAAACAAGCGTTTACAGAGGGAATAACTGGTACAAATAAAAAACCTTTAGGAGTATAATAAGTGGAGCACTTACACGGTTCCGGCTTTTAGCAGCTTTCGTCTTACAAATATAAGGGACCATATACATATACACTGCTACCCTTTGTTAATTTGAAATGTCTAAAGTGATACTGAAGGAGATTTTATAATTGTATGCTAAATATAAAACACATTTAAATGACATATTTTATAAAGTTATATATTAAGGGTCTGTTTCATAATGTACGGATAAGTTCTACATAAATTCCATATTAGCTATTTCTTACTTATTGGTAGGATAAACACTATTGTTGCGTTTCACGACTGTCAGATAGCGCTATTCGT